AAAAAAAGATGAACTAGTGCAATCTTTTCCTCTATTACTTTACGCGAATTTATGGGAAGTATAATAATAATAATAATAATAAAAAAAAGGAGAATGAAATAAAAAGCGAGTAAAGAAAACACAACCGTGATTTGAAAGCCCTAATAACACGACTAATCCCATTACAATGTTACCAAAGCATACGGAAGGGCCGTACCAGTAGAGGAAGGCACCCTTCATCTTCCTTCGACTCATATTAAAAATCATGCTAGTGTTATCTTAGCAACGACTCGTGAATAATACAATCTCTCTCTTTTTCTCCTTCCGTGCATATGTCCGGCATATTCAACCTAAAAGAGGGTTCATCATCGAACCCTTCGAAAGACGGATGAGACGGAACAAGGTGGGGGAAAGTTTCCGTAATAGGGGATGAAGGAGGGGGTTGTCGATATAGGACCACCCTGCTTTTTCTGACAAATACTAACTCACTATAATGTATCCTACTAAGCTTTACTCCTATCTCACGTCATTACTATAGAAGGATATTTTAATTTCAACCGGTACCCTTAGTTGTTTGTCTATTTTCTCATTGGTCAGATTTTTCCTAAGAGGCGTGGCTTTTTCATTACCATCGATATATACCTAACGATACTTCTACCATTTCCATTTTACTTATACCAATCATTATGTTAGTTATTTAACTAACTTATAAAGATTATTTGTATATTTTGTTAAATATAAATTCATTCGATTCTCCTAACTTCGTGTAATATCGTCGTTTATTCATTATTCATCTAATTCGCGAATAAAATAATCAAGGTAATAAATTAATTGTTCATCTTTATTTTTCATTTATTTCAATAATTTTCTTCTTTCCTTTGTAAACGTTGGTGTTTTTGTTAAATTATTTGATGTGTGTGTGTGTGTGTATGTGGTGTGTGTTGTTTATTTCTCTCGTATTAAATATGAAATTTATTTGTTAAAGGGTTGTTTCTTAAGTAAACGGAAATAAGAGAAACAATAAGGGAAACTGTTGGAATATATTCTCTGTTATATTTGCACATAACTTTTCGTTTGTGTGTGTGTGTGTGTACGAGAGTATGAGAAAACAGAGATGAAAAAGGGTTGAAATAAACGCGTATTGCAAAATGACACGAAAGTGTCAATGACTTTGAATAAGAAGGAAAGTAAAGAAGAAAGTTTGAAAAAGAAAGAGAATCAAGAAAAGAAATATGGAAAGGAAGGTGGACTTGCGGATTTGAAGAGACTTGTTTAAATATTTGTCGATAAATGGTAGTTCTATATTTATTTCACAATGCAAAAATAAAAAAAAAATGTTTCAACTACTAACTTTGTGCGAAGATATGACCCAGAGAAGAAAAAGTATAAGTGGAATGAAAAAAAAA